CCTATCTCCGTCAACTAAAGAAACAGCAACTTATTTCCCTTAGGTAAATACCTGCTTAACGTGCTTAATAAAAGAACTTGGGGCTGATCATTGGTTATCACATTCATCTAGTAACGACAGAGAATCAATTCGCCTTTCGGTAATCACAGCAAAACAGGTGCTCGCAGAGTCTAAAATCCCATGGGAACGATGTTTTGTTTCCCATAAAGTTATACATGTCCCGTACAAAGATGGCAAGGAAGAAACAAAGAAAAGGAAAAAGAGGAGGAAGAGCAAAAAGCGACGAGATGCTGAGAAGCGGGGGTACGTTCTTTTCGATAATGGTTGTTAAATTACGTGTACGATGTTGCAATACTCACGGTTTAATTGGACGAGTAGGAAATAAACGAGATTTTAACGCATCAGTATAACAATATACGGAGATACATATAAAAGGAACAATATTGTAGTGATCTGACAGAGGGCGCACAATCAAATAATATTAGTTTGGGCCCATTTGGAACTTGGCCAAAGACTGCAGTAAGCATTGTTGGAATAGTGTTAGGATCGATAATATTGATCGCAGTGTATTTATTATACCGACGTTCACATCCAGCTTCAAAATACCTTGACGCTTCAGAGGCGCCATTCAAGGTGCTGATAAACCTGGCTCTTCCTTCCAATCCGGAACTCTGTTAAACTTTTCAACTGCCGACACCAAAAAACGTAAAGGCTTGCTTCCAGCGCAACGAATCTTCTTTGAACACTGAGAAAACAATCGACAGGTCGGCTGCGAATAACGAAGTTCGTCGGTCGGTTTCCGAACTTGGGTCAGGGTTGTCTGGAGGTGAGTATATGCCGTTCTCGAGTGTCGTTGTAAATATGGAGGAGGTCCGCGCGAGTCAGGAGACGGAAGAAGAAGATGATCGAAGAGGGAGGTCAACTGAAATAAAACGATTGCATGATTTAAGGAATAGTAGGCGTCATACGAAACGGATACTCGTGATTTATCAGATGTCCCAGTCGTCCCCGATGTATACGACACTTCTCAAGAGACACGTATAAAGTCTCCCACAGTACCACATTCCAATACACGTCGGGGACAACCATTCCGGAGCCGTCCCGTGAACTATGAAGCTGACGATAGTAAAGTGGATAGAAGAGGATCAACGTCAAAACGCGGAGCCGATGATGATAGAGTGAATAGAAAAGTATCAAGGGCAAAACGCGAGCCCATGATAGTAGTACAGTGAATAAAGAAGCATCAACGTTGAAGACTGAAGCTGATGAGCGTAGAGTGAATAGAAAAGTATCAACGGCAAAACGCGGAGCCCATGATAGTAGAGTAGTGAATAAAGAAGCATCAATGTTCACAACCGAAAGACAAATTAGAACAAGTTCCTCATACCAGATATCTTCTCGTCATTCGTCTCGGTCATCCCGTCGACGTCGACGATCGTCCTGTCGTCGCTCTCAGGAGACAGATTCGGACTGAGAACACGTGCGATTCAGTAAGCGAGACAACTGTAATGGAGTGGTTTCTTCGTCCATTATCCTGATCGTTACGTACACTTTCTTCGGGACTGTTTGGAGAACCAATGGCATAAGTTGCCATATGGATTATCTCTTCTAAGTTTCTCGCTTTCGTACTCGTCTTCTTTCAGTTTAGGAATATTCCTCTATTTTTTATATTTCTTCGTCGGACTTCTTGCTTACGAATTATCCCAATGCATTTTATCTGGTGCCACATGTGATATTGTCTGATGTATATAAATTCCAATCACAGTTAATGTCGCGGCTGATGCTGAAATCCACGTGAACTGCGTATACAGCACAGGGATGATTTCTAGCCAGAAGCTATGGAATTATAGATTACATGGTTCATTATACTACAAAATGGGAATCAGCATCAGAGGATATTCAAGTTTGCAATTGTAGCATAGGCTAAACTGAAGATATTTTGTATAGATTCATTTCGCTGCGTCGTCAGCCTTCCATTCGATCTCGTTATTTCTTACGGAATACGGTGGGATATTGTAATGATCCAGAGATTCAATTAACAAATGAGTCTAGCCATCTTGATCAAGTAGCAGGTCGAAGATTTATGTATGTTAAGACTGCGTATTTTCAATTCGTAAATTTATCGTATTGTACGTGTGTTCTAGTTCGGAATTATATAATATTTGTTTCAGCCTATTTACATAATGTTGCTTAATGTCAATGCGCATATTTCGAATTATTGTTTTACCGACGCAATCATTATATACAAGGATGAACGCGTAATTCAGACCAGACCATATTAATTTCAAAATCTTTATTATTTAAAATTCTCTAAAAATCGTGTCAGGAACAGTCTTATATTATATATTTTTGACAGCAAATTCTGCCTGTGGTCCAATCCATAAATCGTTTGGACCATCGTTTATTGGTTAACAACGTCAGTACGTTTTATCTCATGTAAAGTTTTCTACCAACGAATCCTTCTTCAACAATATTTCTATGCAAACCTACTTTCCATCGTAAATTCGAAACGAATTCTTGCAAAATGCACAAATAAAAAGCACATATAAAACAAGCATAAACACTCATAAACACACTTACTTTCAACGCTAGAAACTTGGGAATGAAATATTAAAAATTTCATTTACGTGATAATCGTTTTTTCTGCTTGATAAGGATTGATTCCCCTTATTGTACAGCTGCACGGGTTGTTCATTGTTTATATTGTAGTCCCACAGGCGAAAGGCAATGACATCATATAAAGTGGACTTGACTCGACACCTGTCAAACGAGTTCAAGTGTTTGTATGAAGAACCATTCAATACGGATGTTACTGTTCAAGTTGGAGAAGAAGGACACTCGAAGATCTTCCACGCACACTGGTTGATTTTATGCGCACGTTCGTCATATTTCAAAAGAGAACTATCTTACGATACAGATGACAACCAAGA